GTGTCGCTGAGCATAACAACTAGGACCTACTTTTCATATGCACGAAAACTAATTTTATAAAAAAATGAAGCGAAATTTTCTGATTTTAGGAAGACCATTAACGGTCCATTTATGATCATTCTTTAGTCATTTTATCATTATTTCATAATAATTCAGAAGTGATATAAAAATCGCATAGAATATAGATAAGTACTTGTACAAAAATGATGCTAACCTCATGTCATAAAAATGACCTTGAAATGAGCATTATTGAATAAGCTTTTTATGATCATTTTTTTTGACTTGATCATTAATGGCCAATTTTTATATCATATACATAAGAATAGTCAAGACATATCTGTCCGTCTGTCTGTCTGTCCGGAACGCTCAACATATATACATAAGAATAAGAATAAGAATATAAGAATAAGAAAAGAATATGCACATATCTGTCCTTCTGTCCGGAACGCTCAACATAGGAAATTTTTACAACATATATAAATGCTGGGCGTCCGTGGTTTTCCACAGGTTATTTCTAGTTTTTAATAATGATCATAAAATGACCAATAAATGAGATCATACCTAGATCATTTTTCTATCATCAACTGATCATTAACTGATCATCCTCTTGTCATATCATTAATTAGCCATTAATGGCTCATACATATCTCATTTGCATTCATCTGGGTATCCGATGAAGGTGCTTAAAAGCCGTGCACATCAATGAACATTGTGTCTGATTTGTAATAAGTAAAAAGAAACAACGAAAGAAAGAAAAGTCTTTTTCTGTAATCTTTGCAAGAGATATTTTTGTTATTTTTTAATGAAAATGTGCTCCTTTCAATTTTCAATGAAACTACTCGATTATACATCCGTTTTACTAAATTTTTAATTGTCGATTAAAATGTCGATCAAGTGATTGAGCTCTACGACTAGGACAGATGAAAAGCGAATTTAGGAACAAGATTTTATGCTGAAAAAAAGTTCATTTTGAAGAAAAAAGCTTTTCCGAAAACATCAGGTTTTCTAGAAACTCCTGTGGTCTCTCCCAATCTTGATATTGGGAATCACCATCGTCGATTACATATCTCCGTTTAGATTTCCAGCAAAAAGTCAGGGAACGCTTGGAGATCTTCCGTCTTAAGTTCGAAAAGTAGTCGACTCTTAAGTTTTCAAGGCCTAAAAGATTAAGGTAAATATAATGTGCACTAAGTGTGATTAAGACTGCACTTACTGTTACGATAAGACTTCAAAAAAATAGAAGAGAACTTAATAGCTCTACAAGAGAGTTTAGAAGTAGTATAATGATAAAACTGTAGCGCATCGCTTAGCAAAATTCTGCGTATGTCGCTGTATGCATTGATTCACACAATTACTACTGCTAAGCAGAGATTATCGTGATGCGTAGATGAGACGAAAGTCACCTACCAGGCTAATTTGTTACATACGAAATTGAGCTATGTTTCCAAGTTTTCATAGATCACGAACCTTTACATGGATATGACACACTTAGTTTAAAAACAGTAGTTATTCAATGTTATTAAAAATATGTGAACAACAAAAAAAAATTATTTTCTCTATTGATCTCCTGATCCATATCGACTTTTCGTCAAATTCTTAGCATGATTTAGTGTTTCGAGGGGGAAGATTAGTCCTCTAGCCATAGAGTAAAACGCCTTCTGGTGATTCGGTCGATCATGCAAAGGTATTAAACTGAAAAACAAGGAAGCAGTCAAAATCTCTACATCTCGAAAAGTGCGAATATTATAATGAGCTTGTACAAATGATCTTAAAATTTCTTTTAATTCTGCAAGAATTTCAACATCTTTCGATGCCATCGGTAAATCTAGTAATACGAAATCATAACCTAAGTGGAAATAGAAAACATATCGATGAATTGAGATTCATGAAACTGATATTCAGAAAACTTACCACACAAGGATTGAAAAACTTTTGCAATGTCGTAGAGAGCATCGCCACACGTTGTTACTACATCGCCCAACATACCACGCATATCAATCAGTCGAATCTCACCACCTTTTTCTAATAACACATTACTAAAGAAAAGTTATGAAGAAAACATCAAGCATTCAACAAGTCAGGCGAATCGTAGAACTACCTAAAAACGGGATCACCATGTACAACCGCCGCTCTAACACCAGCATCAGCTTGTTCGTATGCATCCAAAGAGTTTAAAATTCCTTTTACTGTCAGATCCACATCACTGTCAAGCTGTTCATACAATGCTTTATGTTGCTGTAGTCTTACACGAACTTTACTAGCACCATTAGCATAAATACAAGCTGTTTTCATTTCTGTTAATTTTTCGTCACCTTCGAGACTCGCTTGACTCGAGTGGATAAATCGCAGAGCTTCTAATAATTTTATAAATCGACCTTTTGTTAGACATCTAGATGTGGCAAGGTGAGAGAATGTAACTCCCTCAACTAAAGAAAAATGACACGAAATCCCCATAAATATGAAAAAAGTACTGTTTGAAACACAGAAACTATAAATTCTCACTCACTTTTATCCATAGTGATTGTATAAGTAGACGTGGCTTCATTCTTAACTGATTCAGTAATATGTGGGAAGAAATGTTTTATTTCTTTTGGCATATGCTCATAAAAATAAACTTCACCAGCTATCTTATTGCTATTAGAGGTTTTTATCACAGTGTCGCCTCTGATTTGAACATTGTTGCACGAACGCGCTGCAATGGCAGTGCGAGTTCTGCTGTTTCCGTCGTCACTGAAATTCCATCCTATTTCCTTAATGAACAGAAGCTGCAAATATTATAAATGGTGAAAATTATTTTTTTGATACTTTTTCTGTGTCCAGCATGGCATGAACAGCTTTATCATCTACATAAACATCAGCCCATGGTTTACCAAAGTAAACTTCGTCGTATGGGATGCCAAATTTTTTCATATTGTCGAATGTAACCAGTGCAACATCTGCCATAACTGCACCTAAATTACCCTTATGGGTGCGCATTCGTCTAGCAGTCTGAATGATAATGTAATGACCAGCAGAGTATAACTGTTGTACTAAACGAATGTTTCTCCACTTTGGTTCCACAGTAGAGTAATCTCCTGCGATAACAGGAGACGTCACCAAGGTATCATCCAAATCAAAACAAAATCTTCTTTTTTTTGTAATGAGGGACGGATTTTGCGTTACCTTCAGAATCAAGGTATTATAATAAAGCTTTAGAAAGAAAGCGATTTTTTATCATTCTTACCTTTGATAAAAATTCTTTCAATTGCCATGGTGTACCAATGCAACTGAAATTCTCCACAAATATACCAATGAATTTGAGACCTTCTGATAGCATCTGAGTAATAACACTACTAATATAATATTCACCACTCGTGTCTACCCCAACGTCTAACACACGAATGCAACTGGAAAGAAGTGAGTTTCCAGAAGAAAATCCATAAGCTCCTGAATTGACAAATGTTACATAGTATCAGATATAGTTACTAGAGTTAACGAGGAGTTATTATTACCAGTATTTGCGTGCGTTGAAATAGGCACTTTCTCTTTTACAGCGTGGACAACATTATCTTCGCTCATGTCCAAGTATGAGAAAACAGGTTTAGTCCCTCTGTCTTCGAAATAAAAACAGCATGAGCTTTCAGATGCACGAAATGTGCCTAATATATCGGAGAAGTAAATAGTATCACAGTCCAAGGAGATCGTTTTTCGTGATAAATCCACAGAATCCATCTAAATAAAAATTCGGCACTCCTAATGTTTGAATGCGATTAAAACTTACAGATTGTAAAATAATAAATAAAGTTTCAGCAGCTCCTCTTGTTTGGAATTTTAATATCACACGTGTAAATCCAGTTGTGGATATTCTTTTTTNGGTCTTAGATACATGCACTCACGACATTACAATTACTTGGTATAAGCTTTATTCTATCAGAATACAATCGGAAAAACATCCCATTATAATATTCTAAACTAAAACCATTGAAGAACACAAAATCAACTTTTTTTATTTGTGCACCAACTTGAAATTCATCTTCAATACCTTGTGATAATGCAATAAATAGTTTATCCTCTGGCTCTAATTTTAGTCGATCCAACAAGAAGAACAGCATTGGTCGTCCAACAATATTGATCAATGGCTGAATTTCAATATAATACCCTCAATATATTATTGAATTAACCGTGCAAATTTATTCATACCTTTGGAAATCTATAACCTTCCGTTTGAAATCTTGAACCTAAGCCACCCATAGGTATGATTACATTTATCCCAGAAGATGACCTCTTGGGTTGAAGTATTTTGTCGCTGTTTTTCGACATTATCTTGAAAATGATTTTAGTAATTCAATAAGCGATGTTACAGACTGTTAATTACTAGGATAGTGGAAACCTCCTGTATCATATACGACGTCGCAGACGAAAATATTGTCCAGGTTAAATCGCCGGCCTTTGCAAGGCTTTTTTCTCAGATTAAACTGGATTAGAAAATTTCGTTTAGATAGAGAATTTTGCACTTTTTTGAAAACGAATATATGACTAAAGTCTACGCAAAATTCTCGATCTTTTAGCATCTAAACGAAATTTTCTGATCAGCCTTAACCGAAAAAAGCCTTGCAATTTAATCTTGATCACTGGTTACATTGCTTGTGTAATATGCAAAAGAGCTACTTGTTTGATTAGACTCAGCGAGGGTATATTTACCATGCAACAGGTGGCCCAGATAAAATGGGACACTTTTGTTCGTTGTTTTTAAGACACTATCTAGTAGTACCAAGAGTTTGTTCTAAGGTCAAGCGATAGAGAATTCAATTCTCTACAAAACCTCTAATTCTAATCTCTGACAGCATTTTTTCCATTTGAGCATCATTCACAATATTGAAGGGTACTGAGTTATCGAACTGCAACGTACTTTTGACGTCTCCTTCTTTCAGATTTTTATCCCCATTGTCTAAGGTTCAATAGTTAATAGGTAGAAAGATAGAGAATTTTGTGCTCTAGATTATATCGATCTCACTAATATACAACTTCATACAATGTTTTCGCTACGTCAACTAGACTCATAATTAGTTCTCAACCAGCGTCTCAATTTTTTCAAATTAAATTAATTGTTTTAATTGATGATTTGTATTGAGAAATTTTCTTTATATATCAAAAAAATGCAGAATTTAATTCTTTGTAAGATGGTAAGACTAAAACCCTGGATTCCAAACGTTTTACTACTTTTATAGCCAAAAAACTAAAGTTTGTGAGAAATAGATTCAGAAGGTAGGTTTTTTTAGATTTATCAGTTTTTTGCACAGAGAAATTTTCCGAGAAAAGTGATCTACAAAAATTTCGAAAAATACGTGAGAAAGAATTTTCTGGTGAATCTTCTGATGTTTTCAAAATTGTTATGGAATCGGTTTTTGGATCAAGGCAAATATTTTTCTATTTGCAGTATATCGCAGTTAGATAACTCAGCACCATTCAATATTCTGAATGGTGCTCAAACAGGAAAGATGCTGTCCGAGATTAGAATTACAGGTTTTGTAGAGAATTGAATTCTCTATCTCTTGACCTTAGAACAAACTCTTGGAACTACTGGACAGTGCCAAAAACAACGAACAAAAATGTCCCATTTTATCTCGGCCACTCGTCAGTTCCTTTTCTTCATTATCTATGCACGTACAAAGTTGATTTTGTGTTCTTCAATGGTTTTAGTTTAGAATATTATAATGGGATGTTTTTCCGATTGTATTCTGATAGAATAAAGCTTATACCAAGTAATTGTAATGTCGTGAGTGCATGTATCTAAGACCACTTTTTGTTGGAGCACACCTTTTCTCAGTTTTCTATCGAGACACAAAGAAGCGTTGATGACTTTTGTTATGTTCAGAAAAGAGTCCGGTATTTTCAGGGAGGAGAAGCAATCAGTCCATAAAGACATTAAAAGGAGATAACTGTTCAGCGGATACAAGGCACTCTCAATTGTGACAGTTCGAACGGATCTAGTTTATATCTAATAAATGTACACATGTAACTTTATGTTCCGTTTGGAAGAATAAATTGAAACTATTTACAAAAATGTTTGTACCAGGTGCCCCAAAATGTTTGCGACATTTTTTATTTTTCCGTTATCTCAGTACAGAAAAAGAATCAAATCTTTAATTTTTTTTTTAAACGCTGCGCAGTTCAGTTCTCTACAAACTTCTATTTATCTCAATCTAAAATAATCCAATTGAAGATTTTTATCAGCCACATAGTATGATGATATGAATTGCATCTACTTCCTTCACATTTTCTTTCTAATTTCTTTTTTCTATACCAACGAATATTTAGTTTCTAAAACATAACTCGCTGCTAGATAGCTCTTGAAAGCCTCTGTCGACTGTACGTAAATATGAAGTTTATAATGCTCATTCTTTCGATCAGCCGACACATTCCGTAAAGCCATATTTTTGAGTATGGCAACTAGAGATCTGCACGGGCAAGATTTTTTTGCCCGTGCCTGTTCATACCCATAACCCTACTGAGGATACTTGTCCGTGCCCATCCGTGAATTTTTTTCGTATATGAAAAGATTTTCTCGTCCACGCGTGCATATTATGTTGTCCTCACTGTAGCATGTCTCTAACTGTCTATATTTCATTCTCAAAAAATTCAAATCTCTGTACCATTTTGTTGCTCAAAAATTTAAAATATCTTTTTAAGACGGCCGTGCTCGTCGAAGGGAAGCAGTTGCCCGTCCGCATCTTTCAAGTCTGTTCATGCCGGTCCGTGCCTTTTTCGAGTCTGCACCCGCCCGTCTATGCCCGCGGACAGTACGGCCACGGGAATTCCCGTGCCCGTGCAGATCTCTAATGGCGACATTTTCTTTCTTGGTTACGTATTCCTTTTTAAAAAAACATCTGAGAAATATCAAACACGGTCGAACCGAGTTCATTTTTGCAGTATTTTGTAGAAAACGGATTTCTCTTTCGATCTGAGGCTTAAATGGTATGTGACGTTTGCGATTCAGTTAGATGAAGAACCTGAACACTGTCGGGAAAGCTGTTTTTGTTATATAGCAGCTCAGGCAAGCCGTTGCTATCAGACACAAATAGATCGTGAACAAACGCTAAAAAATAATTCTGAAAGAACAGTTAATATTCAATATAATACAGATAATTCGTTTTTTAGATGTCTGTTTATAACTTGAAAAACATCGTAAAACTGTGTGGGAAGCAAATGCAATTCATATCATCACCCTATAAAACGTTCAATTCGATTATTTCAGGTTGAGATAAACAGAAGTTTGTAGAAAACTGAATTGAACATCTTTTAAAAATACTTCAAAGATTTGATTCTTTTCTGTACGGAGATATATGCAAAATAAAAAATGTTGCAAACATTTTGGAACTCACGATATAATCATTAATGTGTCTTTTCTAATATAGCGCTCAAAGCTTTGTCAAGAGAAATCATAGTGTTTCTCTCAAGCCAAATTACTAGAAACGAGCTAATTCGACTGCTAACATTAGCACACTATCTTCTTCTGATAGTCACAATATGGTGACGATTGCCAAGATGAATATGATTTTTAAAAGAGATACATATCTTTTTGAACTTAAAGATAGAAAGCTTAGAGTCGACTGAAATAGAATCAGTTTGTGCGAGAGAATGTCTGGCTGTAGAAACTTATTGTCAACTTCAGAAATGAGCGCTTACTTTCAAATTCCAGGTTTATAAGGAACGGATACAGAGAGATTAATACATAGAAGAAAATCTAGTACAGTTGAGTTAGAACTAGCCATATTACACGATTAATGGTGTAGTAGTGAATACTATTGTTTCGAACAGTACAGACATGAGATCCAGCACGTATCCTCGTCGTTAAATATGCCCCAAAAAATGCAGAAGAGATGACATCCTTCCTGAACAAACTCGCTTCTTTAATAGAAAACACATAAGAACATATTATTCTGATCATTTTATTGATGAGCCACGAAATGATGTACAAAATTTTCAGATTGTGCATTTTTCATTCACTAGATGATTTACAATATGGTTTTTATCTATCACGGAATTTATTAGTTCTGAAATAAGAAAGTAACATTCTTAAAATATAATGCTTTTAATGGAAACACCGTGGAGTATAACTTGTAATAAACTACAAACCCGATGAATTCATATTGTATCAGTCTAGTTTCGCGAAAGACATGCGATGGCAATTTCTGAAAGTGAAGTATCAAATATTTACTTATATAAAAACTGAGAGAATCACTTTTGTTTTAAAATTTGTCCCCGTCTAATTAAATTTAGACGAATTGTAACGAATTAGGGGATACCCAAGAATACGTCCCTGATTCTACGCCATGTTCTGAAAGAATTTAGAGAGAGAGTGAAAAACGATCCTCTCCATAGTCGAGACAATCTTTTCCTAATCAAACTCCCTTTTCTTTTGTTCAGTTTGCTCGAAACCGCAAAACTTTTGACATTCTCATTCCATTCTTTTGATTCCACCCAAAAATTTTAGTTCTTTACATCAGTCGAATCATTTTCCACTATCATCCATTCTAAATCTGATCATCTCAAGCAAAAAAATGTTTTTGGAGCCAGCTAGCCTCGGTTAAAGGGAACATTTGTCTGGCTTAAGCCCGGCTAGAGCTGGCTGCAATACCTGGGCAAATGTACGTTTTAGCCTAGATTAAACTGACTCCGAAAAATATTTTTCTGCTCGAGTTCAACTATGTATTCTTCGAACGATTTTTCACATAATTCAGAGTATTATGTGAAAAAATTCCCAAATGAAAACTCTTGCCTCACTCCTGATCTTGTACGAGTTATGAACGCGCTTCACAACACGCTATGGCACAAAACATTATAAAAACGTTTCAAAGTTTGAGTACGTGCTGCATCATTCTGCGCGATTACAGGACGTAGGATGACATATATTTCGCATGTACTCGACGCGGGCTATTAGAAAAACAGGTGTTTGTCATTGGCCAAATACTTTTGTAATGGACGAAACTCCTGTGGACTTTTTC